TTTCAACTCCCAGAATTCCCCAGCCAGCTGGGGAATTCTGGGAGTTGAAATCCACTCATCTTAAAGTGGCCAAGTTTGGACAACATTGGCTTAATAGCTCATATTCAGAAAATTCCTCCTTATTTCAAGTTTAGATCTCTTTCTGTTAAGATTCCACCCTCTGGTTCTTGCCTTACCCTTAGATGCTATGGAGAATAAATCCATACCCTCTGACCTGTAATATCCCTTCATGTATTGGAAGACTGCTATTATGTCTCCCCTTAGCCTTCTCTTTTAAGTCAAACATGCCAAATTCCTTTAACCACTCTTCATAGGATTTAGCTTCCAACCCCTTGTCATCCTTGTTGCTCTTCTCCGCAGTCTTCTCAGTTTCTCAGCATCATTTCTGTATTGTGGCAACCAGAACTGGACACAGTATTCCAGGTGTGGTCTGACTAGTGCAGCATACCGTGTTACTATTATTTCCTGTGACCTTGGCACTATAACTTTGTGGATGCAGCCCAAAACTGCATTGGCTCTTTTGTCAGCTGTCACAGATTGCTGGCTCATGTTTAGTCTGTGGTCTATCAAGACTCCCAGAACCTTTTGCTAAGTACTAAGTACTTTTGCTAAGCCCAGTACCACCTATCATGTACCTGTGTATATGTTTGTTTTTCCTTCCTTCCTTCCTTCCTTCCTAAGTGTAGAGCCTTACATTTCCCACTATTAAACATTTTTCACCAATGAACAACATTTTATTGGATAGAGCCCAATGTTCATGTCTAAAGATTCTTTTGCATCTTGGCCCTGTCTTCCGGAGTATTAACAATCCCCTCCCAACTCTGTATCATCTGCAAATTTTATAAGCATCTTAGATTAAGTGAGAATAACATTATTCTATCTTAATGTGTGGGTGAAAACTATTAATTAACAGTATAAAATATTCAGTGTTATGTTTCGATTTACAATAACTTGAATCAAATGCATAGTAGATTTCAAGAATATGCTCAAAAGTTACTGTATATACTGGAAAAATGCATACACACTGCACACAAACACACACATATATTGAACCATACAAAAGAAAGTTAAAAAATATTATTTGCACAATCTGTTATGAAGGACAATCTAGCTAGGATTTTCCAGATGATAAATGGCACTTTGAGTACACTTTTTCGAAATAAGGGGTATCTGTTTTACTTTATGGAATCTGAATTCACTGAGTTTTTATTTATGAAGAATTTTAAGGGACACTAAGATAGCATTGCAATAATGTTTGGTCCTCTGGTATTTCAGAGCAATTCTGCTTAAATCTGGAGGGAATACTTAAGTAATAAACTTACAAAAATAATCCTAGAGAAGGCTGCCATGTAGTTAGGGACTCTGGACACTTTACCTACATGTAGAATCCTTCAGAACATAGCAACTGGCCCTAATGTAAACCTAAGAATACCGCTTGCTCCAGGTCAGGAGGGACATGGACCCAGTCTCATAGTTTTCTTGGTCTGCCATGAAAAGCAGCAATTGTATTCTGTACAAAATGGAACTAGCCTTATTAACCAGAGTAACTTCTCATACTGATTTCCATGTCTTGCTAGATGTCTGTAGCATCCACAAAGATTATGTGGGTGTTCTTACATGCATTCATTGGTGGACAGGAAAAATATAAATCAAATAAACAAAAAGTTGGGTCTCATATTAAATTTCTTAAACAGATATAGACAAAAAATGGTACTATATCAAGATTATGAGTAGCTTATTTTGTTAATTTTCTCAAGTGATACATATATGATTAAAAGAGTCCTGACATTGAAACATTTTGCAAGTATAACAGATGTAGCAATATTCATTATTTTGCTGCTGATAAAGTATTTTTGATATTTATTTTTGAAGTAACATACAGCTAAGGATGTTCAGAAACATACCAACGATCAAAACAAATACAATAAAGATACAAACATTACAATCAAGAGGATCAAAATAGGTTTCATTTTACATTCTAGACAATAATATTTTTATGCCAATCAGCTTCTTCAGGGAATCCTTCATTTCTTGGTTCCGGAGACTGTAGATTAAAGGATTCATCATAGGACATACAACAGTGTAAAAAATGGAGAGTGCTTTATCAGCTTTTACTGAAGAAATAGACTTTGGTCTTAAATATGTTAGAACTGCAGATCCGTAGAAGAGAGTCACCACCATGATGTGGGAGGAACAAGTGGAGAATGCCTTGCTTCTGCTTGTGGTAGAGGACATTCTGAGGATAGCGTGGAAGATGTGTATGTAGGAGATCAGGATAAGCAAAAATGGAAGCATTATGAAAACTACTGTGATAGTGAAAATAATTATTTCATTTTTATAAGTGTCTGTACAAGCCAGTCTCAGAAGTGGGGGAAGATCACAGAAGAAATGATTTATCTTATTGGGTCCACAAAAGGGTAGAGTGAATATTAAAGCTATAGGCACCAAAACTACCATCACACCAATGATCCAGCAAAAAATGGACATCTTTAGACAACTTGTCCTATTCATAATGGCTGAGTAGTGTAGAGGCTGGCATATTGCCACATATCGATCATATGACATGGCGGTCAACAAGCAACATTCTGCAATTCCAAGGGAGCTAAAGAAATACATCTGTGTGGCACAGCCAATGAAAGAAATGCTCATGTCTTCCAACAGCAAGTTAGACAACATTTTGGGAATTATGGTTGAGGTATAACCAATTTCTAAGAAGGATAAATTCTGGAGGAAGAAATACATGGGAGACTGAAGAACAGAACTGGTGAAAGTGACCATTATGATGAAGAAGTTTCCCAACATGGTCATAAGGTACATGGTGAGCACTAGCAGGAAAAAGAAGATATTTAAAATGGGTACTTCAATTAAAGGTTCAAAAATGAAATTTGTCACAGGGGAATGATTCCTGTGGTCCATGACATATTATTTTTACCAATAAGGAAAGCTCATTTCTAATCCATCGTATCATCACCATTCACATCATCAATGAAGTTCTTTAATATCAATGTACAGTATGTCTATATAATGTAAAAAACATATATATGAATTAATAAAAGCTATTGAAAGGCATATTAAAATGAATATTTATATACTGAATCTTGAATAGTTTGAGAACTAACAGGCCATGTAAGTGCAGATGATTACTACTCCTAGTTTACAGCAGGCAATGAAAATGGGAATCCTAAATATATTTACTTTGGATGGCCTGAATTTCATTTGTCTTACATATCAGAGTAAATTGTTATATTAGATATTTGTGCATATGTTCTTACAAACAAAAATATTTTTCTTAAAAGTTGAAAATGCATATATAATATGAATTTCAGTAGAAATTTATACATAATTTTATTGAGTTTTTTAATGCACAATAATGAGGAATGAGGTGCAATGATTGTATACATAAGCATCATAAACATTAAAGAGACCGTAAAACCAATCTATGTGTTCCTAATGTTTTAACTAAAACTAAACTTTTAAAACTTTTAATCTACTTCACTAACCTGTAATAAAGAAGTTTATTGATTCAAATTCTGAAACTTTTTACTGCACAGGACTGTTTTGAGCAGCCTCAATAACAGATTTTTGTTGTTGTTTTGAAAAATCAATTCAAATCAAGTAGGAAATTGTAAGATGCAAAGTTACATTGGCACATAGTGCTCTGGCAGTGTAGTGCAGCTGGAAAGGGAGGGAGGGAGGGAAGGAAGGAAGGAAGGAAGGAAGGAAGGAAGGAAGGAAGGAAGGAAGACAAACATCATGTGATATGATATGCAGCCACAAATTTTTAGACTTTAAAAATAAACATTTCTTCATGTCACTCTTAAAGAGTTGCAGTCCACATGACATAAGTAGATTCATTTAGTGCCTAGAATCCCATATGTAAGAACCAGTATCTGCAGTATTTGGTGTATTTTTAATGACTGGCCTTGCAGCATAAATAAGCTTTGAACTTCTGTGTCCCAGTCATTTCTTCAGCTACTGAAGAACAAAGTACATTTGCGATTCAAATAAACATTTGCCTAGAAATCTGTTTTTAAAACAAACCATCAGGATAATAGTAGAGATTGAACACTACAAATGCATTCAGTTGAGATTTCTAACTTACCTTTAACAGGGAAAGCTGATTGTTAGAGCTCTCTCGCTCTCGCTCTCTCTCTCGCTCTCTCTCTCTCATTTTCCTGAGAAGTACTTCAATTTTTTCCTTAGTCCCTTGAGAAGGATACTCTGGAGAATTGTGTCTCTCTGTGTGTTTTCTAATTCTTGTGCAGCCACAAACTGTACACAAACACAGTTTGTACATGTATATGTTGTTCACTGTATATGGTGAAGTAAAGTTTTATCTTACCTCAGATTCCGGATAAAGTAATTAATGAAGTCTTCTAACATTTATGTGCATATTCCTGAATGAACTTAAATAATGTTCATTTATCCTCAGAATAATCCTTCTAGCATGAATTCACAATAACCTCACATCTTAAAAATGTTTGCCTTGTCCTGCCTGTTAAGTTTCATGTTAAAATATATGGTTCCCTCCCCTTTCAAAGGAAGTAACATTCACCTTATAGTGAGACTGGGATTAATTGTTATTCATACTTTTTAAAACCACAATAATAGAGGCAGAGGTACCATGCATTCCTAAAATTAGGAAGATGCCCCTAAAGTCCAGAAAGAGGCCTGCATGGTTGACTAGCAAGACGAGTAAGACAAGCTTTTAGGGACAAGAAAGTATCATCTAGAAAGTGGAAGGCCTGTCTTAATGACGAAAACAAAAAGGAGCATAAGAAAAAAAGAGAAGCAATAGAAATGCAAAGAGACAGTGAGGGAGGCAAGAAGAAAATTTGAGGAGCGTATTGCCAAAACTGTGAAGACAGATAATAAAAGATTCTTCAAATACAGATGGAACAGGAAGCCAGCCAGGGAAGCTATTGGTCCCTTGGATGAAAGAGGAGTAAAAGATGTGCTAAGAGGAGAAAAGGAAATTGCAGAGCAGCTGAATGAATTCTTTGCTTCCATCTTCACAGGAGAAAAATGGGGGCAGATCCCTCAGCCTGAACTCTTGTTTTCAGGAGGGCATCAGATGAACTCAGCCATATAGTGATAACCTATATGCTAGGCCTTACTGTCAAACTGAACATCAACAAATCACCTGTCAGCCTTGTGAGATAAACTGGATAGGAATCACAATCAGGTGAGCTAATTCTGCTTTATTGTAAAGCAACATTGACAGAATTTGGCAAGTCTGAAACTACAATCCTCCCCCCATCTCCTTTACAGCCCAAGAAACTAGGGAGGGTGTTTTCAGAGGACATGATTGAGGTGTACAAAATTATGCACAATATAGATAAAATGTACAAGGAGAAGCTATTTTCCCCTTCCAAAAATTCTGGAACCAGAGGTCACCCAATCCTGGAAGAATTAGGACAGACAAAAGGAAATTATTCCTTAATCTTCAGATGATCTCATTGCCACCTGACATAAACAAATATTCCTTAACCTTGAAGGTCTCATTTTTAGCAGAACTAGACAAAGAATTTGAAGCACAAGATATGATGCACTTGTTCTTGACAAAATCCAGGGAAATGAGATCATCCAAAAGGTGTGTGAGTAATGGTGGTTCAGAGCCTATATAAGCTAGTCAGGATCCCCATGGGATGGAACTTCAATGTAGATCTAACTGGGAGGGTGCTCCATGTCTGCCTCTTCCATCCCTTTGTGGTGCCCTGACTGGCAGAAGATGCATAAGATCTTTCTTTCTTTGTCTTATTGTATTCTTGAATATTCCTTGATTGCTGTCTTATATTATTAAGTTATTTTCTCATGCTGTCTTGGAATAAGCCTTAAGGACTCATACTGGTGTGGTCATTACTTCTGAATTCTGAACCTGAATTGCTTGCCTCCCACCCCCTTCTTTCACTTGCTAGAAGATCATATTCCCATCTAATTGTATTTATTTCATATCATGCAATTGACAGAGAAATGGGTGCATGCAAGTTGTTCATGAAGAGGATGCAAGATAGGGGCCATGACCCATTTGACCTGGAATGACCAATGTTCCCATGTACACACCAAGGCCAGATCAGATATGATCTTTGTACAGATACACATGCATACACACATAATTATCTATACACAAACATATTAGCAATACTGATCTGTAGTTTCAAGGAGAAATGTATCAAAAGAAAAATAATATTTTGCCTACTCTGTGGAATCTTTTTACTGATGGCCTTAAGAGCTGACATCAGAGAGCTGTTTAGTTTTTCCCAGTCTAGTTTGATGTTTGAGTTGAAAGGATAGAAAGAGACATACAAACATTCACATACTTATACAATCCTCAAAGAAAGAAACCAACATATCGTAAACAATATGAAAGATGCTGCATATATTTCATACGGCTTTGCAAAATGACGAATGAAACTCTGAATACATTTTTTTCTGAAATAAAAAGTATCTCTTTTATTTTATGGAGTTTGAATTTAATGCAGTGAATTGTGCTCCTTTCTATAAAGGATGTTCAGGAACTCTAAAAAATAGCCCTGCAATTATGGTTGGTTCCCTAGTGTTTCAGAGAAATCCAGATGAATTCTGGGGGGAATGCTCAAGTAATTAACCTGTAGAAACAGCTAGGGTTATTCTACCTATGCCAAGGGGACTGCTGTTCAACCTACACATCATGCTGGCTCATCTACCATCCAACCAACATATACTGAATTTGCTGTCCTCTAAGGAGGCCTTCAAAATGGGATGTTATATGGCTATAGAGGCCACAACATAGACAATGACTATGGCCACCTCACCTACAATGCTGAAGATCTTTCAGAATATAGCATCTGGCCTTGGTGTGTACATGGGAACATTGGTTATTCCAGGTCAAATGGGTCATGGCCCCTATCTTGCATCCTACCTGGTCTGCCATGAAAACGCCATCTGTAGACTGTGGAAAATTAGGACTGGCCCTACCAACAAGATAAAATCTCTAGAAAACATCTGTGTGCTGCTACATGATTATGTCTTCCTCATGGGATGCTGGTGAGACTGTTGATAGTTAGAAAGGTAAAATTTAGTATACATAGAATAATATTGATAGCATGTTCCACATTACGCATATTATATTGTTTAATTGTTTCAAGGGATACATATATAACTGTGACAAATTCAAGCAATTTGCAAGTATAAAGAATATTAGAATGTTGTATGTTTTTGTTTCTCATAAAGTATATTTTGCAGTATTAGATACTAACAGGTTTTCGCTAGTGAGATCTATATCTGAAGTCTTTTTCCCTAAATAAAGTATGTACCACTCAATTTTAAATTTGGATGCCTGATGAAAACACATATATTAATTTGGGAATTTTGAAGATCATGATAGAAGAGTTAAGCCACCTATGGTTAATGACATATATTTTTGTGACTTTAATTTTTCAATGTACATACTTTTTCTATTACTGTATTTTATTTAATTAAAAATGTATGCCTAAGGATGCTTAGAATACACCAAAGTTTAAAATATGCAGATGATGTAGTAATTTTATCTGTCTCCCAGGTAGGAATGAGAAGGGCACTGAGGGCATTGGCTTCCTTTTGCCTAAAAGAACAACTTGTGGTAAATTATCAAAAAAACTAAAGTGCTAGTATTTGCACAACACAACAGTAGGCTACATAAATGGCAAACTAATGGACCCCAATAGAGCAGGAATGTACTTATAAATATCTTGGGGTGCAGTTCCAGGCTTCCTTATCTTGGAGTGCACATTTTTCTTATGGGGCAACTATGGCCCAAAGTAGCTCCACAGCTGTCTTAAGATTTTTCCATTCAAAGAGGGCACATTTTATTGCTGCAGCTTGCAAGGTTGTTCTTGCTAAGGCCATCTGTCAGCTTTTTTGTGGTGTTCCGATTTGCATTTTTACAAAGTTTAATA